TACCACTACCACTACCACTACCACTACCACTACCACTACCACTACCATACCACTACCGCTACCACTACCACTACCACTACGACTACGACTACGACGACGACGACGACTACTACTACAAAGAGAATTATCTTCGCAAGGTTTGTCCGATCCCCGCCAGGGTCAGGATTGTTAAGAAGAGCAAGGGCAGTCAAGGTCAAAGCGCCAGAATTCAACAAGAGGACTCCCATGCTGCTGAGGATCTCCGAGAGTGCTTGTGCGGAGAATCAGCGAATGAGGTTCGGAGAGATTGGACCTGATGGAGTTTGAGGTTTGTGGAAAAATGTTTCGCATTAAGCAACTTAATTTAGTAAGAGCACAATTGAGATCGTGGACTCACGGTTCTCCAGAATCTGGGGCTGTTTTGGCCACATGTTCTTCAACAACCTTAGCATCTTGGCCACCTAGTTTCTCAACAGGTGCTGTAGCGTAGTCGAAGTGGAAACCATACAGACATACAGATACTTTGCTTTCTTGCAAACGTAGTTCACGAAATCCAAGTTACAGAAGCCGCAGAAAATCTGGGTACTGGGTATTGTACCGTACCCAGTCACGTGGCCTGGAACTTGACATTGCAAACGCGGTGATACTCGGGTTAGGGTCCCCTCGATACAAACTTGAACTATTGCTTGGTTTGCCGCGCTTAAATCTCCATCAGGAGGAGGCCGAGACTGCGTCCCTTCAACGCAGAGTGGATGCTCTGCTCCGGCAACTGCAAAGCGACTCAACGCCAGAGGTTGCGGAGGTCAGCGTTGCTGGACTTTTTGCGGAGCAACTGCAGTTCTGAATTTGGGGTTTCTTGTATAAATGACCAATTTTTGTTATGATGGTGCCACAGTCACATTCCCAACCACTTGTGTAGGCGTTCGCGCGCTAACTCAAATGGTCTGACGTACCGCTTGATACAAGCTATTGATCCACCACCTTAGGCGTTATTTTTCACTGCTTGTACTTTTGTACATTAGACACTACTCGCGTGTGTTTTGGCTCAAGGAAAAAGGTGTACGTTTCAGGCTGTTACGTGTTAGAAATAGGTTATCAGCCGTAGGACTCTTTCTTGCCCTCTGTTGCTTTTGTCCCTCGTGCGCCTACGCCATGGCAGGCTTCGGGACCCCGGCAATTATTGACTTATCTTCTGACCGGGAACAATGTCCACACGAGAGGAAACGCCTGAGTATGCTAGCCCTACTGCACTTGTTCCGGTTGGGACTGGGTATTTGGATTATGGCCTGACATTCCCCACTATACAACCCGCCAGACGCAAGTGCAAGCGGGAACGCTGTGCCGGTCAACAATCACAATCAGACGAACATATTGAACCAGCGCCTGCATGTTCACCAAGCCCCAACGACCGATGCCAGGTTGATTGAGGCAGTTGCCGAAGAGAGACATCGGCGCGCCATGGACCTTCAGAGTGAACAACTCCATATGGTGAGCGCTCAGCGTGACGAAATGAAAGCACAGGGTCTAAAGTCCATGAATGAGGCTGAACAGATGTTTCACGAGAATGAGATAGTGAAGCAGGAAGCCAGTTCTTTTGTTGAAGCAGCTCATAGAGGATATGAGGCATACGCCGAGGCTTCTTCATCCGAGCTCAGACCCATGAAACAACAGTATGAGAGTCAGATGCTTGATTCACGCGTCCGGAGCGATCATGCCATCCCTGGGCATCGGCTATTGATTCTAATCAATAAGATTGGTAGTTTTT